ACTATGCGTGCAAGCTTGAACCTGATGGACTTCGCTCCAGAACTTGTAGCGCTTTATGGCGCTTTCGCCAAAGTTGAATGACATGTTCACGAGCAGGTTTTCAGAGACGATTTTATAGGAAAAAATTCTTTGAAGTCCTTAGAATCCATTAGCTGAGTACTACAGGACACTGACATTCTTATCGAGGCAGTCTCTCCTGGCCGTATTTTGAGAAAGGAGGTGGACTAGTGGCGAGAGACCGTGATGCAAGGCTCGAATCCTAACGAGATCAACTGAGCCAACCAATCCTCCCATCCCTCCGAAGCCAATAAGTTGATATCAGACCTGTCGGGGATGAAGCAATGACTTGTAAAGCGACTTGCTTAGCGATTGATTGCATAGGCGGTATCGCGCTCACTAAGCTATTATGGTTCTGAATGGAGCTAAAATGCGTCCCCAAAGGGGTTGGATAAGCGAAGAAAAGTTTATCCTTCATCCTTTCATCCGCCTCATAACGTAACTCATCTCTTGCATTTTGAATGTCTTCCTCGCTCGATATTCAAGATTATGACTAAGAGCCAAGCTTTTTTCTTATCCGTTTTTATTCTGTTTCGGATTACTGCTTCATGCTTGATTTGGCATTATGAGTATTTTTGGTACTTGTGTTTTTTTTGTTCATCACTTGAGCTTGAAGACTCAATTTGAGATGTGCGACGTCCGTGCCGAGAAGTCTGGCATCGCTCTCGAGGCTCAGCAGAAGATTCACGGCAAATACGATTCTGAATTGGCTTCACAGATCTTGCAGTGGGTCCAGGTGGGTTATGATTCTTCTGCTGACTACTTATTCAAAGAAAGACTTGGGATCCCCTGTTAGACTTGTTCACCGCTAAAGACGCTTTTAATGCGAAAACATGCTCTTCAGGACCGTGACTGTAAATTATTGGTGAATCAGTTACCTAGTCATACATTACGCCCAGCATGCGGCCCATAACGATTGATTCGTTTAGTACAACTGGCATAAAATTGACATCGAATTCTCATGCTGACTATCAGTTACGGTAACTCTCGTGGATTCACTGATTTCTCCGATTCGTCCCGTTGGTCGACCCGTGGTCAGAAGTATTACTTTTCCTTATCACTGCAGAAAGATTAGCTGTTTTTTTCATTCCGGCTTAATTTTGACT